CCCTTACATAATTAAGTACTCCCAGGTAGAGAGTAGACTGCAAGCAGTCTCTTTCTTTCCCTAGTGTGCAACACAAATATACAAGGCAACGTAGGCATTGAGGATTGTCTTGTTCAAGAAGATATCATAGTAGTCCAATACTGGACAACTAGGTACAAATAAACATAACAGGACTATATTGTACTACTGCAGTCTCATGTGAAGTAGAGAAGAAAAGAAGAAACTTAAAAATAAGTCTGAGAAAAAAAATTGTCTTAAACTGCATAACATTGAACGGTTTTTGTTTAGGGAGGTGGAAGAGAAAAGATCAAACCTAGATGGAAATGTTGACGAAATTGCCAAAGAGCTCCAAAGAATGGAAGGCAAAAAACAATACCTAGAGGAAGAAAAAACAGATTTATCAGAAGCACTTGACAGACAACGTCACTTATTTGAGTCTAAGGTAATTGAACAAGGCAGATACATGTACTTATTAGATGTTACAGTGTTTCTGTTTATTTTTTAGTAATTGTCATAAAACATTGCTGAGACGATTAAGTACACAGACCCTATTCATAAATTATGGCTGCCAATTAAAAATTCTTTTGTAAGTATTAAAATAAGCCCAAGGTTAGGTGGGCTGATTTAAATGCATACAAAAGAATGTTAAATTGGCAGCCATTTATGAATAGGGTCTACGAAAGTCCATTTTCAAGTCGAATGATTTAATATTAGTCCACTGTACAAATAACACTTCAGGTACATAGAAAAGGAAATCTTCGCACTTGGTTTTTAAAATTGTAGATAATTGAACCTGCTGTAAAGTAAATGAATTATTCATGTCATTCTTTATTTCTTAGGAGAGAGAAGTTGATTTACTTGCAAAAGAATTTGAACTAGCCAAAGAGCGACAAGCAGAATTTTTAGGAGACAGGTATTGATCTAGAAATTTCTTTTTGACCCTTTTTAAGTCTGGCATGAATTGCATAGATACAAATATTGATTAGTGCAGTCGTGTAACCTCTCTTGTGTTGGTTTGTATAAAATTAATCAATTTTCTGTTGTCTTTGCAGAGGAACTTTGGATTTGAATTTGAAACATGCTGCTATAGAGAAGAAATCCAACCATGATATTCATGCAAGAAAAATGAGAGAAAAAGAGAGAGATCTGAAGTAAGTTTGTTACGACATGGTTAATTTTAAATATTTTCATTCATCTGATGTCCAAAGCTTAACAATATCTTTTCATTAGTTTTTTTTTTTTTTTTTTTTCATTTNATACGAGCCAAGTGGTCCATCAGGCCAGTGCATATCTCTGGTTTCTGTAGCATGAAGCAACTGAGAGTATTTTCTTCTCCCACCTGGATGGGATGCTAGTCCATCACATAGTTAACCCACAACATTAAATTCACTGGTACCCATTAATACACCTGGGTGGAGAGAGGCACTGTGAGAGTAAAGTGTCTTGCCCAAGAACACAACGCAATGTCCCTTGCTAGCCAGGACTTGAACCCGTACCACTCAATCCAGAGGCAAGCACACTAACCACCATGCCTGCCACACAGCTTCACATAATTTAGGCAAATAAATTTTATTTTGATTTGTTTCCACAGAGCTTTAAAAAAGAGCGAGTTGCAAATGAAAGTGGCGGAAGATTCTGTGCAACATGTGAGAGCAGTTTATGACAAAGTTAAGGCTCAGGTTGACAGTGCCCCTAGGGATGATGGGACATTGTTGGAGAAGAGGAAAGAGTTACAGAGGGAGGTTGATGTCACTAAGAGAACTCTTGCCCAACAGGTACCAAAAACATAAAACACAATAATTTCCTAGGTCTCAATCTTGGTTTCCTTAATGTTTCTCATCTGCAGTCTCCAATTTCAACTTTTCTGGGCTCCTTGGTGTCGGTATTGCTGTCAAAAATTGATGTACAATTATTTTGTCATAAAACTATGTTGTTGTCATATTGTTGATGACCCTAGTTTAATGGCCTTAACTCCTATAAATCCCCTCTTAATTGGTGGTAGAGCAAATCTGGGCTGGTAAACCAAAAGGTCTTAAATTTGACTCCTAGCTGGAGAACTCAAAACCATTTTTGCAAGTATGCGTGTTTCACTGACAGGCAAATTATCTTCTCATAAAATGATATTCATATTGTTGTTTTAGAATGCTCTGACTGCTCATGAACGTGCTCGTGTGGAGCAAATGATACAAGAGGAGGAGAGACTACTGATGGAGCAAAGTGAATTGAGAGTTGATGTCATTGACTTGACAAGACTAGCTCAGATTAAGGTACTATTAACTTAATTTTGACTTGGGTATAGAATATGACAACACTGATTTCTTTGAACAGTATGATACAGCTAGGATTAATGCTACATGTATTTTCTTTGGGTGGAAAAAAGTAATGTGGGAGTAAAGTGTCTCTCTTGATCGAGAGCACATGCAATTACTAGCATAATACTCTTTACCTCTTGAGGTGAACTTGGCCCTCACTCACTCAGCACATCAACAGTCGACTGACTAGGGTATGCTTCCCTTTCAGTAGCTTGAAGCACTGAATTTGATAACTGATTTTTTTTTATTGTTTTTGTTGACAGGCAGATGAAAGAGAACAAAAAGCAAGGGACTACATGAGAGCTGAGGTAAATGCAATTGTACTGTATTATTGTAAAATAAATAATGCCAAAAACGTGTATGTACATCTCTAAACTGTCTGTAAGTCTCTTGCCAATAAGGTACTCAGTGTTGATAACTGTTCACATATCACATTTGATTTACTATGCTGTACTGCATTATTTCAGCTAAGATACCAGCGAGCTCTTGAAGACTTAAAAACCAAGAACCTCAGTATTCAAGACAGTGCTAAGAAATATGCTGAAATGCAACACAGGTAAGTTGAAGTAATTCAATTACTGGCTCGTTGCAATGTGAACATCCTCACATTTTTACATATTAGCAAGGCCCTGTTAGGGGCTGGGGGGGGGGGGGGGGG